CGAGGTTCTTTCCCTCCCCCCCCAACCCCCACCCCTTTCTTTCTTTGGTTCTGTTAGTGGCCCCGCTACCCGTCGCTGGGGCCTAACACCAAGTTTTGAGGGCTCGCGAACTAGCAGCCCGCCAGCGGTGGAAACGTGATAAGAGCGGTACCGTTTGCAGAAGGAAATTTCTGATGCAACTCTTCGCCTTTGCTGATTGCCTCTCCAAACGCCTGCCTGGCGAGGGCCTGCAGCATGTGCGTTATGGAAATTAGGGTATTCTTTACTTTTTTTAAATTGTATTTGTCTTTTCTTGGAGTTGGAAGAAACCCTGCGAACTTCTTTTCGTTTGCTTTGACTGAAACTGGGTAAAGTAGGGGAGCCACAGGTGATTTTTACAAGGCCCTAGTTCTTTAGGATGTTTCTAAAAAACTCTATTCTTATAACTGTTTCATTCAAGAGATGCAAAGAAAAAGTCCAAAACAAGTAGCATTCGTGAGTAAATATGTGTTATTGCACAACTTTCTCTTTGCGGCTGTTTAAAAGGCCAGGCCCAGAAGACTTTGTTTCAGAAAATGCTGATTCAGCCATTTGGAGCCCCTGAGTTTCAGAAATGGTGTTCAATTTAACGTTTCGCTCTGCCTTACCAGAACTCCAGTTGTGGCACAGACAAGGGCTTACACTTTAGTGAGGTTCGTATTTTACAGAAGTGGACCTCAAGTTCTGGATTTTTGCAGCAGAGGGAATTGTGTAAGGCGATGGATGAAGAGTCTCGAGAGTTTCTTTTTTTTTTTTCCCCCCCCAAGAGCACTTTGATAAAATGTGGTCCCAGGAGTGATTCTTGCCTCCCAATTTTTTTGTGTGTTAAAAATCAAAACTTTAGGATTACTGAACATACTTTTTTGAGTTTCACTGAGAACATTTGAAAGAGGGCTACACAGGCCAGTCTCCACATTACAAGGAGGGAATTTGAGGACAAGAGTTACAGCCCAGCAGGCATTGCAGTAACTGAGAAGTGTAGCCACTGATACTTAGGTAGCATTTCGCAGTTTACAAGGCACTTTCAAAAGCCCTGTTGCTTTTTATCTGCTTCGAAGCCCCCGCGGTCCCCATTTTACAGGTCTGGAAACCAAGGCTCAGGAGGTTAACTGGTATGCCTGAGGCCATACCAGCTAACAAAGGACAAAGCTCTTGGAGACCTCCTGAGCTTTACAGGTCTGCAAAAGCACATCCACTTCTGGAAGAAATGGTGTGGAGGAGGGTCACCCTGCCCGACACACAGCTCAGCAAATGGAGGCCGGGGCCTAGTTTCTTAGTCCACTCACTTTCAGCCTTCCAAGATTAATGCCACGTAGGCCAAGCAATTATCACTGTTTATTTTTTACACTTGCATACTCACTTATTTTGAGAAGAAACTTCAATATTCATGAACTCATGAGTTTGATATGTAACTGTGTTCATTATAATTAAAAATTTTTTTAAAAAAAATGTGTTTCACCTAAGTCACTTATTACGTATTACTTGTGGCCTGTATTGCTTTTGAGACTGTGTTGGGTTGGTCAAAATGGATTTTGTTGGTGGACCAGGAAACCAGAGAGCGGGGAAGATTTTTGGTGGCTAATTGTCTGGGACTTTGTATGGTGGTTACTGCTATGGTTGGAAGCCAGAGCAGCTGTCCCTGTCCAGTCAGCCTACACTGGACAACAAGAACAAAAGTCAGAACCAAAGATCCAGCTCAAAACTTAGGACGTTGCTGAACCCGCTGGATCAGAGGCTTTAGAAGCCAAACTTTGGTTGAACCAAGACATCCATGTGCCTTTAGCTCATTTTAGAGCTGTACAAAGTCTTGGTTGGTATATCTTTTTAAAAACTAAAATTTTATAGATGGTATAATTTAAGAGAACGCATTTGCTTAAAATTCTGTTCAATGTGTAATTGTAAAACACTACAGGATAGTAGTGTGTATTTGCAAATATGTGAATGCAGGGTAAGATTGTCCATCTATGAAGACTCAGCCCTAACGGCCGGAGATTTCAGTCCTGGCACCTTCATGGGAGGGAAGCCTGTATATAATCCAGTGTCTGTTTCTCAGTCCGTTAAAACAACATGGAGGGCAGGCGAAGCAGCTCAGTGGAGAGCCATGATGAGGCCTTGGCTTTAACTCCAGCGCCAAATTCTCCTCCCTACAGAAATTCCCTTCACAAAAACCTACAGCAGTAAGGAGCTGTTTGGGAGGAGAAAATCTGACTTGCTTTTCATTTAGGTAGTTGGTCACATGTTCAAATTTAAATAAATCTTATCCGTTAGTGAAGCTTTTCTTGAATTTTTTTGAGGGGGATTCCCTTTTTTTTTCTTTTTTTGGGGGTAGGTGAGGTGATTTAGCCGTCATTTTATTTTTCATTTGCCTGTAGAAGTTTATTTTTCTTCTTTTTCGGCTTTTGGATTTCAATGTTCCATCGAAGGCACAGACGTTACAGTGTTCAGAAACTGAACCCTGCTTCAACAAAGACTTCTGTTGTGCCTTCAGTTTCATCCTAAAGCTGTAGAAATTCTTGATTTCCTAAAAATGTCCTGATATAAAATCTTAGAGCACAGATTTTTAGACTTCATTTTTTAATACAGGGATTTAAAGCTAGGTGTTTCCCTGTAAGCACTGTTTTGGCTGCATCCTACAAAGTTTGCTATTGTAGTCATTATTTTCTTGTAAAATCCAGTTCAGAAATATGGGAGATTATGGGGGGAAATTGAGGCAGTCAAATTAGATTACCTGGTAGGGTTTGGCAAATGGGTGCTTTGGGATTTAGGGTGTATTCTTCAGGATTTCTACACTAATGAAAAGGCAGATTGATAGCTTATTTATATAAATGGAATGAAAATGGCATGATTGTCCTTGGAGATATCAACCACAAAAGCCATTTTCTAGAGTTATCAAATGGGTAGAAATGGGTGCCTCTGTTTTCTGTCTTGGAGGTGGACAATTAGGAGATTTCCTTTTTTTTTCCCCTGTGCTAGAATATTCTTTATTTTTAGCCATTTACTTCTCATTAGATTTTGGAAAGACTTTTCCTTGATTGTTCAGATCCTAAATTAGAGGTGCTTGTTATTTGATCTGAGCCCTGCAAAACAGGACTTCTTGTTGCTCACTCATGTCTACTGGGGCAGTAGGAATATGTACTTAGAGGAATTGCCTTTCTCACTTTTTCATGACCGGCAATTCCTTTGTGTCTCTTAGTTCTTCAACTTGCTACCTTTGTCGGCCTGAGCAAGTTAACACCATTTGTAGAGTGGAAGTTTGTGAAATAGCTTCAACTCCCAAGGTACAAGCTCAGATGGGCTGAAAGTTGGTGTATAAAGCAGTCTCTGGTTTGCAGGCACAGGAAGCCTGCGACATTTGTCTTCAGACTCTAAAGATTTGCGTCTGGACTCCATAGAGGCTTTTATCCCAGCCGGGACTGAAATGAGCACGTACACTTATCCTGGACATGCTGACCACGTCCCCTGGGGAGTGGCTGCAGCCCCATTCCAGGGCTGTGCTGGTGGGCAGCCCCACCCCTCCCTGACTTCCTTGCAGGGTTTTGAGCCAAGTAATTAGGCCTGGGTAACTGCCATTAACAAGGCGCTCCTAAAGCACATGGCACAGAAAGAGCTCTGTTGGTCCTTATCACCCTGCCATCATTGTCACCACAGCTAA